GCATAAACAGAATTTTCTGTATATTTGGAAAAATTCATGTTCATGCAGAGGCAGCAAAGATACTGTATAGAGTTGATATAGCCTACAAGGAAATTTATTCCTTCCTGCAGCAATAAATATCGAACAGCCAAAGAGTCAGATAATTGTGAAGATGTAATTTGTCTTTTGCTGGAAGATGGACTTGGTCTTTCCCTACTGTCCTCTGCCTGAAAAACATGATAATGCCAACACATTTCTGGATACACTTGAAATATTTTTAGTTTGCACTTTTTTACCCTTACTTCTTGCATAAGGAAGCCAGTCTGTTCCCTAGAGGCCTGTAAGGATTAGAAAAAGGTAGAAATCAAGTAAAAAAATCAACCCACAGAGAAAGAGAAAAAGCTAATTACATAACAGATGTACAAGACCATTTTAGAGATCCACAATACAAGCAGATCCCCTTGAGTCTGAGCAGATCATCTTTTTTCTCTCCCTGCTCCATGAGTGAAAAACCAGCTCTCCTCTGTAACACTGGACATGCCTTTGAAGAAAAATGTTTCACTCCTTTGGCAATTACAGTCCTCCCATAACTATGGAAGATTTTATATATATATAAAAAAATATATATATTTGCCACAAAATGTAGCACCTACTCTCCCTGTTGCATGACACTTCACATTGCAACAGTGCTTCAGAATAATTGACTCCAAAGGAGCAGCACAGGGATGCAAACGCAAGGAGAAGCAGCTAACCATTAATTCCTGCATGAGATCCCTTGAAGCAGGGATTTATCAGCTGGCTGCATTCCTCTCCTGCTCGGCAGCCAGGGCTGCCCAGCACTGAGTGTGCTCTCAGCTTTGATGTGCCATGAAAGTCACCTCGGGCCATGTAATGCTCTCTTTTATTTTCTATAGTGGTTGTTGTCTATCCCAACCACTGAAAGTTGCACAGGACAGAAAAGCAGGCTGTTTTAATAATTATGTATGTTATGTAGAGATCTCTTCCCTCCCAGCAGAAGGGGGGAGAGCAGAAGGGGATGAGAGAGAGGATGTGCCAGACTAATTCACATGCAAATGTGCCTAAGTTCCAAAGTACATTAAAAGAAAAAGCAGTTCCCTAAAATAATTTATGGCCAGGAATGTTTTATTACCCTTGTACACCTACCACTAAGTTTTGAAATGCTGGCCTATTGATAATGAAGGTTTGTTATCTAGAAATCCTGGCAACTCTTCCTCTGGGGACCAGAACCATTGTAAACTTCTCAGTTTAGAAAAAAAAACAGTTAATGTGGTGGCTATTTGCAGAACTGTACTGCACAACAGGATGACAGAAGTATTTTGCAGCTTCTCCAGATCTAAAAACCCTAAATAATAACAGCCAAGCCTGCAGCTATGGGAAAAATGTGATGCACAGTGTAGCAGAAATACCCAAGTAACTGCATTCGCACTTATTTCTGCCTACATGGATAAAGTATCCACCTTGTTGACCTGTCAGTCTCGCTAATCCACCCTCTATTTTCAGTTAATATCATTAAAGTTCAGCGCTTCAGAGCCTGGAGGGAGAGGCGAGCACCTCATCCCCTTTTTCCACGGGGCGGTAACCAGATGTCAATGGCCGCAGCTGTGACTACATAATTACCTGTTTGCATGAACGCGGACCGCAGTTTAGATTTAATAGGTCAGACGACAATGCAGCAAAACGCATTTAGCCTACGATTACCCCTTTTCAAACATTCTCTCGCTCGCAACTTCGACCCTGGGAACATTGCGGGCACAGACTCGGGTCAATAAGAAACATTGGCCGGCACAATGGGGCTGGCCTCAAACAGCGCTGTTGACAGACACCGGCACAAAGGCGGTGAATAGAGTCCCCCTCAGTTCTCACACAGAGCGAAGAATGAGTCAGTGTACTGCCGCTTTAGTGCTCTGTTTGTACAGTGTATACAGCTTTTGTCCCGCGCCACTGTTCGACGCTCAATGGGGGCGAAAGAGCCGAGGAAGTGAAGGCGGAAGAATGGCTCGGCGCTCACCCCGGCAGCCAGCGGTGGATCCCCTGCGCTGGATGGCTCCGGTGGGAAGCCGGGAGATGCCGGTCACGCGGCTCCCGCCGCCCCAGCGCTCGGCCGCGCACATCGTGCTCCTGACCTCGGGCGAAGCCTGCGTGCGATGTCGCCGCTGCGGAGACAGCCTGGTAGTTTTAAGCAACGTATTCTATCTCCTTCAAAAACACAGTAATGTGCCCTCCTGCCCTTCCCTCCCACCATGACACAATTCACGGCTGCCACTTCAACCAAGAAAGGAAATTGAGCGTGAGATTTGGAATTACAGTAGCTCTATGTCCCTCCAAAACGTAACAATAACCATGTAGTCGTAGTTTTAAATCCCCACTGCAAATGTTTAAGGAAGTGAGAAGGGTAACAAAAGACAACCACAGCTGTACATCTGTATTTCACACACAACATTTAGATTGTGCAAATAAAGGGTCAGGGAAAATTTATCACATACATATTGTTCATGAGCCTCTATATTAGTTATCTATTAGCAGAGAAAAAAACCCACTTCATGTAGATTATTGCTACTCTTCAAATAATGATTTTTGTCAGCTTCCCCTTTAGGGAAACAGCACTTCTCTTATTTAAATTACCATGCTTATAAGCACTATTAAGAAACCAAAGTAGCCCTCTAGCAAAACATCAGAAGTGTTATCTTCACCTGCTTTATATCACAGAATCACAGGATGGCCTGCGTTGGAAGGGACCTTAAAGATCATCTAGTTCCAACCCCCCTGTGGTGGACAGGGACATCTTTCACTAGACCATATGCAAAGTATGCAGACTTTTTTCTAAGGAGTGAAATCTTTCCTTGCAAAGAGTATTTAGATTTTTGAATGACTAGCATGAAGCTAGTAAAAGAGATAGCAACTGCGCTTTAACTCATGCAGACCGTACTACAGATTATACAGGTTATACATTATAAAGCAGAGTGAAAGAACTGTTTAGTATGTTGTAAGACTGTGAATTGGTTAGAATTAAAAAAAAGGAGAAGAAGAAAATTGCATTTTAGAATAAAAAATTCCATGGATTTCCATGAATGGAACACAAAGAACATTGTTCATCTTATTACTAATAGCAAAGGTAGTATTAGCATGCTCTCTACGGCTCTTTAAATTTTAGTTTTTAAGTTCAAAATACTGGAATGTTACTACATTAACTAGCTACAGAAGAAAGCTTCAGATTACTAAAAAAAAACGATGTGTATAATGCCAGAAAAAAAAATTAAACCCAAAAATCGAAAGTTTAATTATGTGTGAGCCAGTCAGAGAGATTTTGAGCGTCTTGAAGCCATGACCTTCACTCTTGGAAAACGAATTGAAAGCGAGTAACCTGAAAGATATGTGAAGAGCATTACCTTATTCTCAGATACTTCATTTTAAAACAGCACAAAAATTTCTACTCTTTATATCTACATACTGCCTTATTTAAATACGGCAGGCTGCTCTGCACACTACCTATAAGACCTATGACTGCACTCGAGTATACTGGCACTGATTATGTAAAGTAGGCAAACACTTGTACAGGTGCCAAAGTATGCTTGCAAGCTTACCAGGGATCTGATCCATCACGTTCCTGAATGGAGTTTTTAGTTCACTTTAAAGGAGGAAAATCCTCACCTTTCAACTACAATTAGGGTTCTTACGTACCCCGCCACAAAAATACTCATAGATCTAAAGGCTGATTAACAAAGCTGGAAGAATTAACATCTAGCAGGATTATTTCTTTTATTATGAACAGGAGAAAGACCTTCCGAGTTCGGTCTATCATGGAAAGAAAAAAATGGAGACAAACTGTGCTCTACCAGTTCTAAATGGGGAGAGATGAAGAGCAGGCCAAGAGCTTATGAGTCAGGATTAAAGGGAGGGCAAGGGCAGGTGACATAGTGGGGGTCTACTACAGGTCACCTGACCAGAAGGACCAACCAGATGAAACCCTCTACAGACAGACAAGAGCAGCCTCACAGTCACAATCCCTGGTCCTCATGGATACCATCTCAGTACCTGTTGGAGGGACAGAACAGCAGGGCATAACAACCCAGGAGGTTCCTGGAATGTGTTGGTGATAACTTCCTTCTCCAAGTGACAGAGGAGCCAATGAGAAGAGGTGCTGTGCTGGGACTTTTGCTCACCAACAAGAAGGGGCTGCTGGGGAATGTGAAACTCAAGGGCAACCTGAGCTGCAATGATCATGAAATAGTGGAGTTCATGATCCTTAAGGCAGGGGGAAGGGCATACAGCAAGCTCACTATTCTGGACTCAGGAAAACAAACTTTAGATTCCTCAGGGATCTGCTTGGAGAGCACCATGGGAAAAAGCCCTGGGGGGAAGACGGGCCCAAGAAAGCTGGTTAATATTCAAGGATCACTTGAAGATGAAGATGAAGAGGATGCATCTCAACAAAGAGGAATTCAGGCAAAAACCCCAGGAGGCCTGGGTAGATGATGAAGGAACTTCTGGATAAACTCAAACACAAAAAGGAAACTTTAAGGAGAGTAGAAGCAAGGACATGTAGCTTGGAAGGAACACAAAGAAATTGTCCAAACAGCCAGGGATCAGGTTAGGAAAGCTAAAGTCCTGACAGAATTAAACCTGGCCAGGGCTTGTCACGGGCAACAAGAAAAGCTTCTATAGGTGTGATAAGAGGAAGACTAGGGAAAATATGCACCCTCTTCAGATGGAAACAGGAGACCTGGTTACCTGGGATATGAAGAAGGCTGAAGTATTCAATTTACTTTTTTTCCTCAGTCTTCACTGGTAACTGCACCAGCCACACCACCCAAGTCGCAGAAGGAAAACCCAGGGATTGGGAGAATGAAGAACCACCCACTGTAGGAGAAGATCAGGTTCAAGACCATTTTAGGAACATGAAGGTGCACAAGTCCATGGGACTTCATGAGATAAATTCATGGGTCCTGAGAGAACTGGCTGGGGGGCAGGGCCGGAAGGAGGAACCAGCAGCGGCAGCAACGATGAACCTGGACCGAGTCTCCAATGAGGAGAAACTGGAGTGTGCTGGAAACACTTCCGGGGGGGTTCCTGCTGCTGCCCTTCCTGTGGGTGATGAACGTGGTTTGGTTCTTCTGAGAGGCCTTTTGGGCCCCCCCCCATTCGGGGAACAGCAACAGATCAAACACTACGTGGTGCGTTCTGCACTGGGAGCGGGGCTCTGGGGGTTCTCCCTGGGGTCTGGATTGGGCTCTTCCAGACTCGCCGCGGCTAATGGATTTATTTTTTTCCAACATGATGAGGTTCAACAAGGCCAAGTGCCAGGTCCTGCACTTTGGCCACAATAACCCCAAAGCAGCGCTACAGACTGGGGACAGAGTGGCTGGAGAGCAGCCAGGCAGAAAGGGATCTGGGAGTCTGGATTGACAGGAAGCTGAACATGAGCCAGCAGTGTGCCCAGGTGGCCAAGAACACCAATGGCATTCTGGCCTGGATCAGGAACAGTGTGGCCAGCAGGACCAGGGAAGTGATTCTTCCCCTGTACTCAGCACTGGTGAGGCCACACCTGGAGTGCTGTGTCCAGTTCTGGGCCCCTCAGTTCAGGAAGGATATTGAGGTGCTGGAGCAGGTCCAGAGAAGAGCAACGAGGCTGGTGAAGGGTCTGGAGCACAAGTCCTGTGAGGAGAGGCTGAGGGAGCTGGGGTTGTTTAGCCTGGAGAAGAGGAGGCTCAGGGGAGACATCATCACTCTCTACAACTACCTGAAAGGAGGTTGTAGCCAGGTGGGGATTGGCCTCTTCTCCCAGGCAGCTATCAGTAAGACAAGAGGGCATGATCTTAAGCTCTGCCAGGGGATGTTTAGGTTAGATATTAGAAAGAAATTCTTTACAGAGAGGGTAATCAGGCACTGGAATGGGCTGCCCAGGGAAGTGGTGGATTCTTTGTCCCTGGAGGCTTTTAAGATGAGACTGGATGTGGCATTTAGTGCCATGGTCTAGTAACCACGGCAGTAGTGGATCAAGAGTTGGACTCGATGATCTCAGAGGTCCCTTCCAACCTGGCTGATTCTATGATTCTATGATTAACAGGCTACACCACTATCTATCATATTTGAGAAGTTGTGGCAGTCCAGTGAAGTTCCTGCTGACTGGAAGGGGAAATGTAACACCCATTTTTTTAAAAGGAAAAACAGAAGACTCGGTGAACTACAGGCCAGTCAGTCTCACTTAAGTGCCCTGAAAGATCATGGAGCAGCTCCTTCTGGAAACTATGCTGAGGCATATGGAAAATAAGGAGGTGATTTTTGACAGCCAACATGCCTTCACTAAGTGCAAACTGTGCCTGACAAATCTGGTGACCTTCTACACTGGGGTTAGAGTGTTGGTGGATAAGGGCAAAACAACTGACGTCATGTACCTGGACTTGTGCAAAGCATTTGGTACTGTCTCACATGACATCCTTGTCTTTAAACTGGAGAGGCATGGATTTGACAGATGTACCACTCAGTGGATAAAGAATTGTCTTGGATGGTCGCACTCGGAGAGTTGCAGTCAACAGCTCAGTGTCCAAGTGGAGACTGGTGACAAGTGGTGTTCCCCAGGGGTCAGCATCGCAACAGCACTAACAGCTTTGTTGGTGACATGGGCAGTGAGACTGAGTGCACTGTCAGCCAGTCTGCTGACAAGACCAAGCTGTGTGGTGCAGTCAACACACTGGATGGAGGGGATACCATCCAGAAGGACCTTCGCAGGCTTCAGAGATGAGCCTATGTGAGTCTCACAAAGGGCAACAAGGACAAGAGCAAGGTCCTGCATGTGGCAGGCAATTCCAAGCATAAGTACAGGCTGGGCAGAGAATGGATTGAGAACAGCTCTGAGAAGAAGGACTTGCAGGTCCTTGCAGAGGCTCAATATGACCCAGCAATATGCACTTGCAGTCCAGAAAGCCAACTGTGTTCTGGGCTGCATCAAAAGAAGTGTGACCAGCAGGTTGAGGGAGGTGATTCTTCCCCTCTACACTGAGACCCCCACATGGAGTAGTGCACCTATCTCTTGTACTGCCAATGTAAGAAGGACTTGGGCTGTTAGAGTGACTCCACAGAAAGGTCAAGGACATAATCAGAGGATGGTGAGATACTGGACCAGGTTGCCCAGAGAAGTTGTGGATGCCTCATCCCTGGAGGTGTTCAAGGCCCAGCTGGATGGAGCTCTGAGCAACCTGATCCAGTGGAAGGTGTCTCCACCCATGGGTGGTGGGGGAGTGTTGAAACTAGATCTTTAATATTCCTTCCAACCCAAACCATTCTTTGACAAATCACCTCAAACCTCCTTTCTCATTTTATTTTTTTTAAGCTTAAATCACTGCTTAGCAAGTTAAACCTAGCCTAACCTACTCCACACATTATTCCTTTTCATTCACTTCCTATAATTTAATTTTAGCTAAGTGCACCACTGGTGTGTACACCCTTAGCATACTCTTAATACACCTTGCAGAAGCAGATAAATATCTCACAAACCTCCACATTAGACCAACGTGTGATTCAACTCACCAAAAGTCCCAGAAAGGGATATTTCATTTGCTGCCACGCATCACTGCTGCTCTCCCAGGCTGGCAGCAGCAGCAGCAGCTCTGCCTCCTGCCAAGCAGAGGATCACAGCTTGTTTACTGAGCTCTGTGTGGAGGAAGCAGAGTGCGTTTCAGTCTCGTCTCCAGCAGCCCTGTCAAGCCAGCTGCCAAGAACCGTCTTGAAAGGCTTCGGGGGGAGCAAAATCTAGTACATAGGTGGTAATAGACCGGGGACCCAAAGATGAATGAGGTGGTGCAGGCACTACTTCATCTGAAAGATTAAAACACGTTTAGGTAGCTTCAAATATATAAAGTCATAGGAAAAGAAGTAAGTGAACTCCCTAAGTGGAAGGAGAGATTAACTACCAGCTTATAATTAACACTGAGATTAGGATCTCTATGTTAATACTTGAAGTTAATGAGTACAAATTGCAAATAAATTAAACTTGTACGCTACTTACATTTCCTTATGATGTATGGAATAGACCTGAAAAGTCTGACTGGGATTTCATGTTGTAGAAGATTATAATTTTTTAAAATTTTAATATTTAAATTAGCAGTCCATTACTTCCAGAAGATTTCAGATAGGTTAAATGTGTGTTGTGCATTTCCATAAAGAAATGCTTTATATAGTTTTATAGGAACCATGAAACTTGTTCAATAAGATCTCAGTGCCTTTGCAAGAGCATGTCAGCTACTATGAAAATAAAGAACAAGCAGTTTCACAGAGGACATGTACACCATCCCTCATTCCTTCTAATAAGATCATTAATCAAAGAAAAATTGCTTAAGCCTTTTTCCTCTACCCTACTAATGAAAAGTCACCAAACACTAATAAGTGATCAGCATTTTTCATTGTACCCACTGGTTATTTCTCTGCCTTTAGAATCGTATCTCAGTTTCTTGGTTAACTGGGTACATGCTCACACAGTGTGACCACATTATGTGCACTTTGCCATGTGATCAGAGCCTGCCAAGTCTCAAAGCAGATTATGTAAAATAGAGCTTCAGTATTTTTCAGAACAATCCCTTCAGGATGTGGAGGATTGGGGGTGGGGAGGTGTTATTTCTCACCCAAGTTGGGTGACTGGATTTTAAGTTCTCTATACAAAAAAATAAATTGTTGTAAAATGCTAAGACAGGAAAATAGAAAATTTGCCTCTCTTGACAGCTATCACAGAAGGAAAAAGAACTTTGGTTTTGTATGAAAAACACCCCATGACTGGCTATCAGCATACTTTGTATTTCACTGACCATAAATCATGACTATGTTCAGCAAGTTCATACAGCGACAGACATCTGCATCCCTGCTTGGCTGCTATCATGCCTAAAATGCTGACAGAGCCATGGCAGCAGTGACCACACACAGACTCCAAAATCTATTAAGGCAAGTTTTAACAGCTACTGACTACTCTTAGTACACTTTCCCCCCTTTTTTCTCTTTAAATGTACAAGTCTTTACTTATACTGCAGTTCTTCCAACACAACAGCAACACTGCCTAGAATTTTAAATTTAATCTTGAAAATTTAAGGAAAATCAGGCAAGCAAATACAATAGCAAGGACCGAGTTACCAAATGCTCCTTACTCAGTAAGGGCAATTACAGACAACCTAAGTGTCACTTCAGTTCTATTACCTCTATTTCTTCCTCCAAAACATTTGATTCACAAATTTTACTCATTTGTTATTCCCATCCTTGCTCCAGATAAGCACATGTGAAGAGAGGCAACAAGGACTGTTGGTTTTGTTAGCATATTAGTGAGCAGAAAAGGAAAATAAAGTAGTCTTAAATAACAGACATGCAATAAAACGTTATTTATCTTCGCCTCTTAACACCCTGTGTTTTTTAATTGATTTGCTGAGCTGGCTAATAGCAGCAAAGCAGTTGAATCCCCTACACAGTTCAGCAACACTCAGCTTTGCTTTGTAGGAATTTACCTGCTTTTGTGCCCTGGCTGGATAATGGAATCTAAACAGGCTGACGAGGAGTTACAGAAAGCATCAGGGGAAGAAAAGCATCTGTCAAGGGTTTGGTGTGTAGGAGTAACAGAATTAATTTTATCAGTCTTTTGGGCCTATTCCAAGCAGCAGTCAACACCCACTCCTCCCTCTGATGAGACATCCCTCTGTACCGACCAGTGACTTCAAATAAAAATGCATGACTAAATAAATCATCAATGGCCACAAACAGCTTTTAAGTATCTCCAAGGCTGGAGATTTCACAACCTCCCTGGGCAACCTGTAACCTGTACCAGCATTCAGTCACCCTCACAGTGTAAAACTGCTTCCTGAGTTCAGAGGGAGCCTCCTGTGTGTTGGTGTGAGCCTGTTGCCCCTTGTCCTGTCACTGGGCACTATTGATAGGAGCCTGGCTCTGCATCCTTTGCCCCCTCCCTTCAGGTGTTTATACACATTGATGAGATGATCCCTCTGAGCCTTCTCTTTTCCAGGATGAACAGTCTTTCCTCATTGGAGAGATGCTCCAGTCCCTTCATCATCTTAGGGGCCCTTCACTAGACTTTCTCTTGAACTGGGGAGCCCAAAACTGGACACAGCACTCCACGTCCAGCCTCACCAGGGCTGAGTGGAAGAGAAGGATCACATCCGGCCACCTTCTTGTCTAACACAATCCAGGACAGCATTCAGTTTCTTTGCCACAAAGGCTCACTGTTGCTTCATGTTCAACTTGGTGTCCACCAGGACCCCCTGGGCCTTTTCTGCCAAGGTGCTTTGCATCCAGGTGGCCCCAGCATGAACTGGTGCCCGTGGCTGTACCTTCCCAGGGGAAGGACTTGGCACTCGTCTGTGTTGAACTTCAGGAGGTTCCTCTCAGACCATTTCTCCAGCCTGTCAAAGTCACTCCAGGCAGCAGCACAACGACCTCATGCAACAACAACTCCTCTGAGTTTTGTACTCCAGGATAACTTGCTGAAGGTACACTCTGTCCCATCACTGAAGTCACTAATGAAGATGTGTAACAGGACTGGACTCAGTACTGACCCCTGGGTGCACAGTTAGTTACCAGCCTCCAGCCTGAGTAATCTTCATATTATATAGCAGACTGAGAATGATTACCAGTGAAACAATTCTGTACAACATCTCTAGCTTTACTAACTATTTAATCATCTTTCTGACATTTAGTATCTTAAAGTCTTGGTTCTTATAATTACACAGTTACACAAGAAGATCAATTGCCTTTTTTAAAAGAAATTGGTTTAATTAAAAATTCCCATTCTGCCAAGTAAAAAAAAAAAAAAAAAGGTGATGTGAACCAAAAGACTAAATAATCCAAAAAGACATAAACAAAAAAATAAAACCAACTTTAAAATCATGATTCGTGGGAGGCCTGACTCATGCCTTCTGAAGAGCTCGAGGTTGATATATATTACCTGCAGTGTTTCCCTAGCTGTGTTAACTCCCTTTGCAGACTCATTTTACTGAAACTGTTCCAGAGGGGTGAATAATTACCACTCCATGGTTATATGATAGCATTAATTTTCCTGAGTAAAATCTATGTTATATGAGGACTTATAATTCACATTTGGTCCAAAACAACATTAATTCAGTTTCTCAACCTAGAAACCAAACAGCTTCTGTCTTTGGGCAAGTCTGCACTTCTCAGAGGATTGCCATGAAGAGGCCATGAGCTAGTTTAGACCGAGCTGGCTCCCAAACTGAAATCAAAGGCCACATCAGCACAGCACAGCACAGCGCAATTCATTATGCTAAGAAGAGGGTTTAGCACACAGTTACACCCAACCTAATAAAAGCAGTTACACTGCTTCAATAACCTGGCCTGCTTTTTCATCTAACCCTTACTTATGTTATAGGTACAGGTCAAACTGACCAGACTTTCAGCCAGAAACATGTGCAACTCGCTCTGTGGTTTAGTAAAGTACAGTTCCCTGTACCCCTGAGAAGTACCACATGCCTGTAAAACTGGCATGACCCTACCTCATCACTGGCATCTAGAGTCTCTGATCAGCAAAACATGTTGGGGAGCGTTAGAGTTTTCATAATCTTCTGTATCTGTAATGGCTGAGGTTTCTTGAGCCTTGTCTAGCTATTGAGGAAATTAATCATACTTTACAAGGAGTATTTAAGTGAGGGAGCTCCTCCCTGTGTGCTAACAGCCAGGCTTTCTCAAAGGTGGTGGTGGGGTAAATTTTCAAATATGCTGCACAAAGAGATTCAATTC